GCCGTGGCCCTCAGAAGCCCTCTCTGGGGGGTTTACAGCCCCGCCGCCTGGGGAGAGGAAATGGCCGGCCAGTTTGCGGGCAGTTGAGAGCGGCGGCAATGAGCATATTAAAGGCCGGAGGTCGCGGCCCCTCCCCGGCAGCCCTGAAATCTCACACTCTCGGGGCTTTGAAGTCCCCTGGGCCGGCCCTGCCTCCGCCCGCTCTCTGGGCCCCAGGGCCTCAGTTTCCTCTCCTGAAGGGGTGCGCTGAGACCCCAGAACCTCTCTGGCGGGAGCCCACAGGCAGCAGATCCGGGGGGCTCTGGTCCCCAGGGTTCACCACCCCCATACTGCTGGGGGTTCGAGCCTCCCAGTGCCCCCGGCCCCCCAAAAGCCTGTGACTAGGGCCACATCCAGCTCCCCACCAGGGGCCCCTGCCCTCTGTGGGTGGGGAGCGGGGGTGTGGGCTCTGGGGCCCCCACCGAGCCGCCGCCTGGCCCCAGCAGCCTTGGGAGCAGGGCCCCGGCCACGAGGCACCCCCAGGCAGCAGACCCTGAGCGCCAGGGTGGCGCGGCTGGGCAGGAGGCCAGGGCTGGGCCGGTTCCAGAGACGCGTGTGGGGTCCCCAGCGCCCGCTCCAGGGACAGGGTCCTCAGGGCAGTCCAGCCTGCACCTGGGCCCGGGTGGACAGCGGTCACTGTCGGGCGTCAGAACAAGGTTCAGGGGTTCTGAGGTGCTTTGGGGAGGCTGCCCGCAGCCAAAAACGTGCGGTGCCCCGGGAGACGGTCTGCGCCCCCAGTCCTCACGGGCTGTCTGGCCCCAGAAGCCCACCCCGGGGACCTGGCCTGCCCGGGGCCAGGGCCGGCCTGTGGGGCTCGCCCCAGGCCCTGCTCTCTGCTTGGGGCGCCCGCCTCGCTGTGCCTGCGCCCCGTGCCTGTATCCCTGCGGGGCTCCAGCTCTCCCGACCCGCCTGTCCGCGAGGCCCAGGACAGGACAGGCAAAGGCCGCCACACCTGCCCTGCACACCTGCCTGTAGCCGCCTCGGCCTGCCTTTCAGGTGAGCCAGGGCTGGGTGAGGCTGGGCCCAGCCTGCGCCAGGGGGAGCTGCGGAGAGGGGTGACACCCCCGTGCCCCCTGCGGCCTGGGCCCTAAGCCACCGCCTGGGTCCCCAGCAGGGCCCCTGCTCCCACGCCTGGGCCTCCTGCGGCTCTGAGAATCCACCCCTGGATGCCAGGCTGGGTGCCCAGGCGCGGGGATGCCCAGGGAGCCCCGCCCGCCCGCACAGCAGCCCCCAGAGGTGCTAATTGATGTTTAGCTCGGCTGGCTCCCTGCTCACCTCTCTCTCCCTTTTTTATTTGAGTCCCTGGAGCACACCGTAAACAGTCATTTGGCTCTGGGGGCCTTGCAA